CAATAACCAGACATAAAACCAATAAAACATTCTGTCCCACACAATTTAGTAGAGAACATAACCCATAAACAAAGTACTGTATCCGTCAAAATCAGCGTAGACGAGCGTACAATTTTTTTTTAGTAATGTTATTGGATTTGGAAATTATTACCGACCCCGTAAAATACTACCCATAAATTATGCGAATCGACTGTGTTACAGGTTCTCAACCGACGCGTTTCTCTTACTTGCTTAAAAAGTAATTTCGCGGTGTATAAATAAACTAACCCCTTTAAAATTAAAGTTTACCTGCATCTACTCTATTGAGATGCAGCCGCTCGTTGCGTATTCTGGTCGAATACTTGCCGACCTGTCTTTAGGTTTACCATTTTGTTCTGTCGTCCCTTTTAACGAGTGCCGTGCCTGCTTGAATTTTTATGCGTTTTTTCAGTGGACACGAGGTGTAACCTAGCAACAGTCACGTGAAATAAAACTCATAAATCGATGGTACCTATAAAACATTTACATTGATTTGCCTAGGCACAAGTGAGTTGTATCCGACTAGGGCAAAAATGTTGCATGTCTACTGTTGGTATTTTGTTGTTGTTATTTTTTATGGCAAGAGAAACCGAAAGTCGATCCAGTGGAGAGCGGAGACGTAACATAACAAAATCTTATCGCTCGAGCCCTCTCGATTTCACTGGACCGCTGTTACTCTGCAATTAGTAATAACCCAATGGTTGAGCGCGTGTAAACCGCAATTATAATTAATACGTTTCATTTCATTGTATTTGCGTTTATTAGTATTGTTATGAAACATTTTTGAGTGTTAAAGCTGTGAGAATTGTTGAAGAAATCGCGGTGTAAAGATTAATGAAATCACACCGAGTCCAATTTTTCATAGTAAATAGACTTTTTTTACAGTCTTAGAAATCATTGCAACGTTGTCGTTTATTTACTAGATTAAATGTTTGGTTCGTTCGCCCTAAAATATTTCAACTAGATACAATATTGTAGAGCTTCTTTATTTGCCTTCGATTGGCCGCACACGCGTATTTTTTCAACGATTTTTGGCTAGTTTACAAATAACACAACACGAGTGCCCCGCTGATTAGAATTACTGTATATTGTCGCAAATGTTAATTAAACAAAAAAAAAAATGACAAAACTAATTTGCAGGAAACTCAAGGGCATACAAACATTTGAATTTCGTTTAGACTTTTTTTTTGTTAAAATGACAGATTTTCACGTTTTGTAATTATTTTATACTTTGGTATTCAACATGTTGTAATAAAAGACAATACTTGCAAAATGTTTACACAAAAGAAATGACGGTCTGTTTTAATTTTGTACTTTACTCGTGTTCAACGAGACTTTTATAAATTAGAAAACGAGTGCGTCTCGAGTAAAAAGTTCAACTAGTCTTAGCTGTCTTTATTTTATTGTATTTTTAACGTTGAATGATTGCCTTCCGTCATGGAGCGGTCTAAAGTAAATGGACGTGCGCACATGACGTGTAAAAACTCACATATTGTTTTTGTACGCGAAGGCAAACAAAAGGCACGGTCTCCACTTCCCCTATTCCAAGTCTGAGTGACTCATCGGCGGTGGCTGGCGACAGACAAAAAGCCAATGAAAATGTCTAGTGGCGGTGGTCGTCGCCAAAAGCAAATGACTTCTAGAGGGAGGTGTAGGAAGAGGCGCAGAATGGCTGTAAACGACCGGCTGAATCCCCTCGTACGACAAGTCCTAACCGCCCTCGTGTCTTTTTAAAGTTCTCTTGATTTGCGTGTAAAACTCATAGTATATAATGTTATGCATGTGACGACCTTTAACGATTTTTATTCATATTTTCCGTTCTATGCGCTGGCACGAAATTTAACTTCTCGGCGTATAACATTAGATCTCAATTAATATGCAAATTGTGCATTAAGCAGCTTAGTTCAGCAAGTCACTTAGTGTTTAACGTCGTATTCTTTGGTAATTCTCCACGGCATCGTGTCGTGCGTTTCGTGTCTAGAAAAAAACCAAACCAACGTAATTATTTCTTTTACTTGTTAATCTATTTCCTGGCGCATTCCGTGTTCGGTTTACAAACCGAATCACAATGTTTTGTTTTTTACTTGTACACAGAAAACTATAAAATATTCAAAATATGACACGAGTTTCTCCCGGCCGACCAGTTTTTAAGCCCATCGGCCACTTGAGGAATCGTTAGCAGCTTATACGGTCAATTGTTGTTGTTGTTGTTGTCGACAAACGTAATCGATATGTATTTACATATTTATGGTACCAAATTAAGAGAGTCGGAAGCGCATAGAAGACCGTAATTATAGTAGGGCTATTACGTTTAAAGAACCAATTAAGAATGTCATTTCAGTTTATGTCAAACATTTTTTAAGAAGTTTCGTCGTATAGAAAATATAAGTCGGCGTTATTATGAATTGCGTCGTGTGAGTATGACGTGATGCTTTCCTTACATTTGATGTGTAGTAAAATCCATTAAAGTGTTGTTAAATTGCTTTTGCTCGACTCTTAAAGTAAATACGTTAATGATTTTATTAAAAACATAAATGTTTGCTGGTGTTTCTGTTAACACACATTTCTATATTTTTAACCGTAAGCAGTTGGTTTGGATGTACTTTACATTGCAACAGTTTAAAGCACATTATTTTGAAACTGTTACCTACCGATAGAGGAGTAACTTATTCGTGATGAACAAATATTACAAAGTGTGTAGCGTGTTCGGCGGTAAATTACACTTAATACCGTCAGTGTAGTAGGTACGGAGGAAATGATTAATAAAAAATGAACTGGCGCCATGACTTCACTCGGGGGAATAGCCCACAATGTAAGAATATTATTGTAATTATAATAATACCACAAATTGTATTTCAAATATTACTTTATTGGCTCAACGGGTTTGGTGCCAAGTTTTAACTTTCATCGGACGGTTATCGAATATTTCCTTCTTTTCTAGTTATTGTGTTGTACTCGTCAAGTAATGATTGTTCTTTCAGATCTCTTCAGCACATTAAGTATACCTGTGTAGAATTTGAAACGTTTAGGGGGATAGCTGGAACTGCTTATCGGGCAGTTTTACCACGACCGCTTCGGTGTTTGCCCACTACAGAAACCCTACATACTGTGTCCACAGCTGTCACCTAATACATTTTATTTATAATACGTTTCTTACGTGTGGGAAAAATGACCTTCGACAATTGTAATTGTGTAACACGGGAAGAAATGTTTCAAATATTGCACAAGTAAAAAAAAAAAAAACCGAACGTTCAGCACATTTTTCTAGCAAAACATAAATGTTTTCTTCGGTCAACTGTAAAAAGGCTTATAGTTTTCGATTGATTAAATCTCAGTTAGAATTCGTTAGGAAATTTCATCGGTAAATAATAAGTGAATAAATTCCGCGTTTATAGCGTTCAACCCTCCTGAGGTCGTTGGTGACCGCGTCCAGGTGCTGTTGCCAAGACACCCAGTTGATCTCGTACAATTTTTTTGGCGAATTCATCTCGAACAACACCGTGGGGAACAGTCACCGCCATAACAATCGTTTATCAGTCAATAACTTTCTCCGGTGAGAATAAGTCACGACTGATGGATTATTTAGTGCGCAATAATAATTACTTTCATTTCGAGCGGTTTCGAGGTGAATTTTTTTTATTACAATTGATCTGCCCGTTCATTGCCTGCCAAAAGTGTTAGCTTTTGTCGAAATTCCAGTGCATTTTTATTTCACCGGGCGCCAGTAAAAAACGTTGGTTATGATTCGGTTATCTTTCAAGTCCTAATGCCGCCGATCGGTTTCATAATCTTTTACGAATGTTAGCAGCGCACGTTGTCTTGTTCTTTGGGTCGTTGGAGCGAAAAAAAACGCGTTGGCGCAGAACGGGTACAAACGATGATATTGAGAACCGGTTGCTCGTCCACTATGAAAACGTATCATTAGATATTATAACACATTATAAATACAATACGCACTCTTCCTCTCGATCCTTCCTTTTGTTTTACTGACGACGCGCAAATATCTCATGAATAGGCCGTCTCCGATCTCACTCATTCTTTTCTTTTTTTATGTCACCTCTTAACTTATGCTGTACAGAATATTACCGATTGAAGGACCTGTAAACGTGCTCTTGCATTATAATAACTTCGCTCGCCCGCACTCTTAGTTTTTAATGATTTCCTCTCACTTAAAGTCTGGCGACTGACATTCTGACGTAGTTGTCGTTAAAAGTTACTTGTGTATTTGAAAAAAAATAAAATTTTTAGAATTTAAAACAATCAGATTATTTTTCTATCGTTAATAATCAAAAATCCTTAAAGGTGAGAAGAATAAAAAAAAATATTAATCGGTGCGGAAACGTAGCACTTTTTTTTTTTTATTAAATAAATTATTATTAAGTTTTTCCTCAAAAAATATGCTTTAAAATTTTAATTAAAAAGTATTACTTTCATCAACCCTTATAGTTGATATATGTTCAATTAACTTTATTAATTATTGACCAGGTGTTTTAGTAAAAATCTTTCACCATTTTTAAGCGACACGACTCTTGAATAGTTTACTCTTATAATTATTACAGTCAATACTATTTTTCAATATTTTTGGTGTGGAAGTCTCAAAGTAGACAAAAAATCATAACTGAAGTGCATTAAGGCTTACAAAAGCGTTAAAAAATATGTACAATGAACCTTATTGAACCCAATGTTCAAAAAAGCGACAGGTGCTCGTAATCGAAACCCTAAATGATTGATTAACTCTTTTTATATTACAGGTGACATTATGAACAAACCTTTATTGTTAAATTAGCTAACGGTTTATTCAGTTAGAATAAATTAATATTTTAGTTATTTCTGGAATTTTATTATTTTTTGAATAGGATGATAGTTTAGGAACAAAATTAATAATTAGTGGGCTAAAATTGTTATTACACTCCTCAGAAGCAATAACATATAATAATTATTGTGTTAAAGTACGTGTTATAACGGTTTTTGTTTTGTTTCAGATTCATTCGTGAATAGTCAAGAATGGACCTTGGCCAGGACTGTACCAGACTTACGTTTGGGCATCGTCGGATCGCTTTCATCTGGAAAATCGGCTTTAGTCCACAGGTATTTAACCGGATCGTACATGCAAGAGGAAAGCCCCGAGGGCGGCCGATTTAAGAAAGAAATATCTGTGGACGGCCATAGTCACCTACTATTAATACGAGACGAAGGGGGTTCACCCGAACTTCAGGTAATTCTTTAATATGTAAATCCTTGTCAGATGACTAAAATAACTCTCTTTGGACATTGTAACAACTTTAGGACGCAAACGTTTACTTAAACTACGCGAGTCAAACGAGGGTCAGTGTGTCTCAAGTCGGGAAATGCCTTAAATTGTCAGAATTTTAATAACAAGTATTTTGTTGTGTACAAACGAAAAATGTTTTGTAATATAAATCGCGCATCTTCACGATTAGTCATTCAGGTCGCAGTTAGCCCGCTAACGTTTATCGCTCGAGGATAACTGATTTCTTATGAAAAACAATTCTTCTGTTCTATTAAGATATTTTAATTCAATTTAAGTCGTTACATTTCCCCGTCTCACTATATTGAGTTTCAAGTAGCAGAGTTGGTAGAGCAACTTGATGTATAGAAAATGTCTATGTGAAATTGTAGTGCACGTAATGTAGTACAATGTATTCAGTGAAATATGACTCTTGTGTTATGAAATAATCGTTCAATACCAACTGTTTTAATTGGCTATGCCTGTAACGACCCATATTTATTATTCCATCATACACAACCTATGTTAATTAGCTTGCTAAGAGTTATTGAAATCAACGTTTTTATAAACAAATCCGGGATAGAATTTCTTATTTCCAAAAGTTCTATGCAATCGCAACCCCATACGAAAATTCAATTACGAAAAGGAAGATTTATTTTCAAGGGTTAGTAGTTTTTTGGGGTGAGAATTAAACCTATAAATCCCCACGTGACCCCGGCATATACCTATTCTGCAAAGTGTCTAATTACAATACATAATCTTTTTAAAGCCGCGTTTAATAATGATTCGTTCGATTTTGTTTTTCCATCTGTTGTTAGCATACAGCGATTAGATTTCGAGTTCATTCCCTTTTGTTCGATTTTTATTTAATATCTTTCGGTTTGTATAAAAATAAATACGTGTCCCCTCGCCGGGTGTACATAAAGTATAACTTATTAACAAACTAATTAAAACTAAACTAGCGCCTATCACTGCATACCCAGAAGTTTGATAAAAATGTTTTAATTTACTTCCGTTCTAAAATTAGCCATAATTAAACTTTTCCATTAAGTAACTTGACTTTTCAACATTTTATTAACTTGGAAATGCCGAACAATGTAATAAAAAATAGAAATATTTTATCAATTAAGTATTGTGTCGAATAATAACCAAAGGCTGATAACAATTAAAATTAGTATTACAATCAACTAGTGATATCTTAGATAATCGATGTTTTATTAATAATTATCCAATTTTAATTAAAAAAACTATTCATTATGTTTTAAAACTTGTTTTATAAGTTAATGTAACCAGAAAATATCTTTAAAAAAAAAGTAATTCAATAAACTATAATTTGTTTGAAGTTTCGACTAGAAAAACTATTTTTATTAAAATTTCTGATCACATATTTATGCTACACTTTTTCACTTTAGACAGTTAAATTTTCAAATATTTTCATAAAATATCAGATAGTACATTTTTATTATTGATTTTATAACATCAAATAAAATAAAATCAATAGTTTTACTTGAACGTTTATCTTGAAGTATCGAAATTGATTTATTGCAGTTATATAATCGGAATTATTTAAAAAGTTTACGTTTACTGCTTTTTTATTGAAATTTATTCAGAAAGTTTATAAGAAAACTTTTTGCTAAACGTATTTTAAATTGAGTAATTAGTATTTTTATTACTGAAATAAAATACTTATCTTGAGTATTTTATTTAAGAATGAACATTGTTTTAAATCACTTTAAAATGTACATCATTTTTTACTGGTTTTATTATTTTTATGTATACTCAAATGTTTAAACAAGGTTGAATCTTCTTGTCTATAAATTCAACACACGCCGGGGGATAATAAAGGTACTGTCAATTAAAATTGTTTTTACTAATTACAAACGTTATGTAGTGTTTAATATTAATTTAAAAATAATTTTTAACTGTATTGAATAAATAAAGAGATAAATTTGTAAAAATTATTTTTTGAGCATCAATAAAAAGTATCGTTTGTCTAATAAAAATCCTTTTAAAATGTGTAAAGTTTTTTTTTATTTTTATCTTTGTTTGGTCTACTGATCAAATAAATGTTAAAAGCAATACTGAATTAAAAAAAGTGTTGAATACTAAATATTCCTATTTCCACCGAGTACTAGTTGAACACTAAATTTCATAACTGAAATTATAATTAACTAACAAAAGGCAGAATAATCGAATAATCGAAAGTTAACCTTCTTTTTTTTTTATGGTTTTGATTTTAATCACTGTCGAATATCATCTATATTTGTTCCAATTTTGTTGGATTTTATAATGTTAAAACTACCTTAATTACATCTGTAATAACTTTATTATATACCTTACTTATATATATATATATATATATATATATATATATATATTACTNAGTTATTTATTATTCGCTGTGGCAGCCTAAACATTTAAACAATGTTTGCCTACCTCTCGTTTGTTTTATTTTCCGGGTGGCTTATCGTTTGATCAAATTTTTATTTATTTATTGGTACACAATATCTTTTAATCCGTTTTGACGACCTTTAAAATCGCATGAAAAATATGTCTTCATTTATAATTCCATCGAAAACGGCAATTCAATTATAACGGCAGCTGCAAAATCTTTTATACACAAGCCTACCAAAATTGCATTTTCTTTTCTCCTAACACTTACGGTATCTCTTCAATTATATTTTGCTTGCGTTATGTGAACATTTTTAGATCATAACAAAAAGTAAATAAGTATTTATCGTTTTACAAAAAATAATGTATGTTGAGATGACATTAAAAAAATTGGATATATTTTTTTCTTTTTCAATGTTTTGCTTACTTAAAATGTTAATTCACGTGATTATGTATTTCTATTAAATATTAACGAAAATGTGCTCTCATTTTGCAACAGAAATCAACTTAGTGTTTTCCTGAACTTGTGAATATTTAATGTATTATATGTGTCGTAATAGACGTATGACATATTTAGGTCACAACTGTTTAAGATCTACATCAACAGTAAAATTATTATGTAGTATACATACGATAAGTGATGAATTAACATAATTGTCAACCGATTCTAAAATTCAAATTGTCACATTGTAGTTCTATAAGAAAATGAACAGCAATCTATTATATGTTATTAAAATTGTTATCTCTTGCTGAACTTTCTATGAATAAAATATATTGACAGTACTTTGAAGGTTTCATTTCGATATTTGCAACGGACCACTTCTGACGAGATAACGTTAAGTAGTTATTTACTTATCGAATATCAGCAAGCGGTTGAAAAACTTCAAAGAAAACGCAAACTTTGTAACGATATAATATTTTCATTTTGAAATGTTTTTTAATATTATTACCAAACACTGTTTCAAATATTAAGTACATTCTTGTACAAATATATTGTGTTTTTATGGATTTTCTACGTCGTAGGAATAATACATACTGTGTCACCTCATCTCACTTTTGCCTTTGAGTACTTTCACAGCTCCTCATTTTATTTGATATCAAATATTATGCCAAGTATAAATTGCCTTGGATTTTATTTTTCTCGTTATTTTTTGCCTCTTGAGCGAAGGTAGGTGGTTTTTATTTTGATTACTCTTTATGCGTCAAAACCTATTGGAGCGACAAATTAGATCGACTGACCTTTTTCATTTGGACTTTTAATCTACAAAAATAAAATCCGACCATAATCCTAGCCAAACACAGTTATTTACATTTGCCTAACAGTTGACTTGATTTTTTTTTCAAACTTTTCTAAATCTAGCCAACAAGTCACGTTTATTCTTTATACCTTTAAAGATTAGAACGATAGAAGAGGAGACTTTTTATATTCCCTTACGGGAAATTTTTGTGTCTATACATTTTCACAGTATTTGTTGCGCGTGTGTTTATTTTTTCACTTTCGAGACACTGAACAAAACAAGTTTTGATCCAATTTGATAAAGGTAGCTCATATTTTTCCTTTTCTTTATTACTCTCCGTAAGTCCAACGTAAACGACAACTTATTACCCGCAGACGGTCGTCATAGTGTCGCCTCTGAACTGCCTTGGCGGTCTCGACTATTGTAAATCTTATTAGGTGCCGCCTCTGTCAATTTAACGGACTCTGCTGGTTTTTTTATGTTCACTCTCTCTCTTCGGCGTTTTCGTTTAAATCTCCCCATTTAAAAGCGNCACTCTCTCTCTTCGGCGTTTTCGTTTAAATCTCGCCATTTAAAAGCCCCGAGTAAGTTCACTATATGTGTGTATGTGCCCAAAAATTGTTTGTTTAATACCTGCTGCATTCTTACTCAGTTGAGGTAACTTACCTTCTATTACACTAAGCTCATTCTTTACAATCTAAGTGACCGGTTTACCCTTCACTATAAAAGTTTTATTATTTTTCACTTTATTTCTTCGATAATTTAACAGAAAAAAATTGTTCTCAGCTATAGAACAATAATAAAAAGCAATTCTACGATAAATTATGAGAGGATTTATACTATATTGTTTGGATGTTTTCCGTTTTTTAATTTTGATCAAACAAAGAACTNATTTTCCGTTTTTTAATTTTGATCAGACAAAGAACTTGTTTTAACAACCACATTAGATTTCATGAAGTAAAAAAGTAAACGGTTACTGTTTAGTTTATTTTTTTTCTATGTATACTAAACTAAAATGGCCCGTTGTTTTAAAACATATTATTCTACTCGCACATTTGCTTTAGTCGACCACAGTTTTTGAAATTTTCAGTAGTCACATCTATCGCTATTTTATTAAAGTGGAGACTAGTACAATAAATAGTCCACCAAGTCAATCCGATTTTTTCACTCTTTTCGGGATTCATCTTTGGTGTCGTCGACGTGACTATTTGGAATTAGTACCTGACCTTTTATACTTTTTCATTTACCTTGATAGTTTTTTTTTTTTCAAATTTAGTGGTTTCATGTTTTACTTGAACCTCTAATCGTTTTCACAGTAATTTTCGTAACGCTTTCTTAATTTTGTGACATATACAGTGTATTCATCTTGTCAATTATTAACCCAAACATACGCCCTTAACAGTCGTGTAAATGGCACATTGCGGTAAGTACAATGTAACGAAAAATATCCCTTTTACAACCTGTGGGAGGAGCTCGAGTAACACAGCATAGTATATGATTAATTTCTATTGTTCGCCGCTCACGTAAAAGATTATTAGGAGAGACAAAAGGTTTTCCGGATTCGCGTTAAATACTTACATCTGTCATAATTTCTACACCATTCACCGTTGTAATAAACTTTATACACTGTTCTTCAGAAAAATTACATTATATTATACACATGTTTAGGATCTTTTGTACTCACATGGTAAAAGCAGCTATTAAACTCTAGGTTAACTGAAGCACTTACTTCGTTACGGAATGGAAACACAAAAAAGTTTTCCAACCTTTTGAAAAGAGTGGTGTGTATGTTTCGGTGCTCATAACTTCGTATAAATTATATCCCACTGCTTTTCCAAACCGCGTTCAGGTAATAAAACTCATTCAGCAAACGGAACATTGTAAAAGTTCATATTATATTGCGTACAAATTTTATCATTGTCGTCGAGTTATTATCATTCGAGTCTCAAATATCTCCATTAATCAATAAAACGTATTGTACTCATCTCCAGAAATCTATTCCGCGTGTACCAAACTTGAGTTTTATTTTTCGATCAGATTCGACGACGTATTACATTATCTTTTAAACTGTACCCAAGAGGTAAATGGAAACTCTCTAGTGCCTTAATATATTTTATACGGTCTTACTCGTATGTAACCGTTTTCTTGAAATAAATAACGATCAATTCGGAAGAAAACTTCGTTGTGTAAAGGTGTTTGTGGAAATATGTTAGTTGTTTCTGTAGATAAGGAAGCAACAAAACGTATCAACTTATAACTAATATTCTTTTATGAAGAATATTGTGAAAACTTGTCGCTGTTTTTCAAAACATTTTTCATTTTTGTAAAAAATAAGACAGTTTTCTCCAAATGTTTCTTCCAGTTTTCCACTACGCTTCCCATTAATCTTTTCTTTTTTACTTTTCTTGCTGATTGTGTAATCCGATATGTCAAATGTATCCCGGTTTTTTAGCTTAAGTTTAAAAAAAAACTTTAGATTATCTAGACAAATTCAACGGTATAAAAGACTTTCAGTTTTGTTGCGTGTAGCGACTCACGTATTTGTCAAATACACCAGTTGTGATAGAAAAATAATTTTGAGATGTTTTGTTTCCAAATAATGAAAAAGAAGTGCTGCACAATTGTTTGAAAATGGTTTGCGTAAATGCATTTGTAACAGTTTTGTTCTTGTAATAATTCTGCTCTGAAATAACAAATATTTTATACTTACTAACCGTAATATGCATAATAAAGATTTGTGTAAACCCTTCAATTAAATTTGCAACAGATCCCCTCGTCATTCATCACTGAAATATCAACGAAAACAAATTTATTACATTTTTGTACGTCGCAATATGTCGCTAAATTATACATTATCCTGTCATTTGAACACACTGTTGAATAACTGTACAGAATACATTGGTTTTACATATTTCATTATGTTGGGTGTTTGGAATCAGCTCTAATTAGACTCTTAGGACGATATCAACATACGAGTTGTTATCGCGTCCATTAAATGAAAGTGTTTAAGTGCTGCCTTAAAATGTGTTGTTATCGCGTTACTTAACGGCAAACAAATTGAGTGTACAATTTAATGTGTTTATGTTTTGTTCGGCACTTGTTATTCTCATCATTCTACCACTAATCGCGATTCATATCGTTTTATCATCTATAAATTACTTCTTTTGATATTTTCTGGAACTTGCAATTAATCAATGCTAGTTAATTGATAAACAAACTGTGATCAATTAGCTATTAAATCGAGTGTCAATGGAACAGCCAGTCATCGAATGGCATTGCTTGCTCGCACGTCGAGGTTTCAACTAGTCAACAAACTTTTCATATTGCTCTTATAGTTCTCGATCGTCGTGGTTAACCAAGTTGTTGTAGTTTACAGGGGAACCACTTTGTTATTAAAAATTTAACGAATTTCACCCGACGACAAAAGAACGTGCAGACACAAGTATACACACCCCTAGATACATGACAAAAAATATCGAAAACAAACCGGCTTTCGAATTTGTTTAGAGGGTTAGGGGTCGTGTCGGGGGAGAGTTAACCTTGACTTCTTCAAAAATTCTTCTCTAAATCGATCACTATTTAACCCCCCCCGTGTGTATCGATCGTCGGGGGTCGTCGATTCGGCGCAACGCTATTGCTGTCACGTTGTTGTTGTCCGCAGCGCTGCGCTCGTCTTGTTATTTGAACAATAAGATAAACAGTAGCCGTCAAATAAAAATACCTTAATAATACCGAATAGTGTGTTTATTATGATTTTTGTCTTTTTATTTGCAGTTTACCGCGTGGGTGGACGCTGTCATATTCGTTTTTAGCTTGGAGAGCGAGACCAGTTTCAATGCGGTTTATGGTTATTACACAAAAATGGCACATTACCGCAATTCAGCTGAAATACCTTTGATTTTAGTCGGCACTCAGGGTAAGTACAAAAATCACTATATTTTTTTACTTAGCTACTAGCTATATAAAAAAAATTATTTTTTTCTTGTTTTAATTTGAATATTCTACCGAATCTATTGTTAAATGTCTATGACATTCAATTATTAAAAATATTTGGCCATAATAGAGTTAAGAAAAATTAGTATTATTATAGTAGATTATTTCTTTGTATCAAAAATAGATGAATCTAGTTTAAATATTATACCTTCTGCCTTTATATACTAATGAGTAATTTCAGTAATAAATCTGATTATTAATCTTGACTGTTTAATATGAAAATTGATTATTAATATCGATAACAACTACGATGTCAATTTTTTCTTTGTTTATTTTATTCAGAAATAATGTTCATCTCTACTGTTTTATATTAATTGAACACTTGATGCGTTTATATTTTTTTATGAAACTTAATGGATCGGGCAATTTATATATAAATATATACATTATTAAAAAATAGTTAATAGATATATAATAGATTATATTTTATTATATGAATACATTTTTGAAGAATAAACTCAAAATGCTTTAGTTCGTATTTCTTAATTACCATTAGTGGAATTCTTGAATTGTAATTATTTTTCTATGAGATTAATTGCTTCCTCTATAAATTTAGACGCTATAAGCGAAACGAATCCTCGAGTGATTGATGATACCCGCGCCAGAAAGTTGGCCGCAGACCTCAAGAGGTGCTCGTACTATGAGACATGTGCAACCTACGGTTTAAACGTCGATCGAGTTTTCCAAGACGGTGAGTTTTCAATCTAAACATCATATTATATTTAAACACCAATTTATTTTACATATCGATAAAAGCATATTTTTTTCTCATAAAACATTGTCAAATTTATTTCTCTTGGTTTTTCTATTTAAATTATGGCTTTCATTTAATTACTTAGTAAGATTGTCAAAATGAAATACAAATTTTTAAAATATTAAAGCTTTTATTTTGAAATAAATTTTAGCTTGTCAAAAAATTATTCAACAACGACTGTCAGCGTCAACTAATTGCCTATCGGACTCGCGTTGTTCCACTCCCGGATCATCCACGACACCCATAAGCAGCTGTGGTCCATCGTACAATCAGTTGGCATCACCCGGTTCACGGACCTTCTCCCAAGCGTCTTCGCCGTCTCCACCGGTACACGGCGTTTCTCCAGCACATCACAGCGCGTTCAAGGAATCCGTTCTCCGTTCGAATCTGTCGTCCTCTTTAAATCGTCAGCCACTGGAACTTTCCATAGCGTTAGACAACAACAATGTTTCCAAAACATTCGACGGATTTTCTTCATCGAAAGATTTGCCCACGCCTAGTTCCACTCCTACAACTACACGGTAAATTACACTTTGATAATAATTATTTTCGTTTGTAATATCTCATGAGTTTTGTTAACAACTTTTGATCTATTTTTTTTTTTTTTTTTGTAGCAAGACAAGGAGGAGGTCTAATTTATTTAATCCGTCCAAAAAAGAAGAAAAAAATCGCGTCCTGACCACTAGCGAATTGGGTAGCGGTCGCGCAATTCCTTTAAAACAAGGCTACTTGTACAAACGTAGCAGTAAAGGATTAAATAAAGAATGGAAAAAGAAATATGTGACTTTGTGCGATGACGGTCGGTTAACGTATCATTCGAGTTTACACGTAAGTGTCCAATCAAAGCTAACAATAGTGCCAATTTTGTGAATGTCAACAAAATATTCATAAATAATTCTTACTTAGGATTACATGGAAGACGTTCACGGCAAAGAGATATCTTTGCAATATGTAACAGTAAAAGTACCTGGCCAAAAACCTAGGGGTTCTAAAACCATTAGTTCATCTTTGAGCAATCATAGCAATGGGTTATCTGAACACTTATCAAACATTTCGATTTCGAATTTTCAAATGAAAGATAAACGCAATGCTGACAAAGTGTTGCTGACTGCCTTTGAATTACTAAAAGAGCCTGGTTACAAAAACGGATCCAGGTAATTATTATCAATAAAAATATTCATATTAATGTAACGTTTATTAGTATTATAATCATTTCAATTTTTTTTCTTTTCAACTTGTGATAATGTTACGAAAAACCTACGCCCTTTAAACTTATATCAAATTAATGTTAATACTATGTATTTTTAAATAAAAAAGAGAAACTATTCGAATACTTTATGTTTATGAATTATCGACTAATTAATCATATAATTTTCGGTAAAAATGTTAATTTGAAATTTTGTTTTGCATAGCAACGGACACATCTACATCGTTCAATATTAAATCAAATTATGGCTTATTTAATGTGTACTATGTGATTAAATAAGATAGATGTTCCAATGACAAGTCTTCTATGATAAATTTTTGGTGGATATGTGAAATTTTTTTCAATTTGTTTCAAATACACAACGAAGCTTGTTATAACAGTGATTTTAATAAAAAATGCCTCAATTCCACTTTACTGTTCTTTACATTTTTTAAACTAATTTCTTATTTTTCTAAGATTTTTTTTGTTTTTGTTTTTAATTAAAAAAATATTATAATTCATATTATTATTATAGTCTGAAAGCGTAAAAATTATTTAAAATAAAAAGTATTACAAATTAAACTTAATCAAAAGTTAAAGGATTTGTTAGAACTGGTGGGACCTCAATAGTAAAATTTCTTTTATATTTGAAGAGTATAATCAGGGTTGCCAGATTAGACAATTTTTCACCAAAATGACTATATATCAACTATCAGTGAAGACTTAAGTTTTTATTAAACGGCTTAATAAATATTTCTGAGCAATTAAACAAATATATTTTTGTTACAGTAAAATAATTGATATACGTTTTTATATCTAGTTAATATTGTTGCCTGTATTTTTATTGGTTCAGCAATAAATATATTATTGAATTATATAAACTTTTACTGAATATTGTTTTAATTTATTAAGTTTTTTATTACTAATAGCAATGAAAATGAATCAACCATTGGAATTACTAATACCTCATTATCAGTAAATAATGGCGAACTTAAAGCTGAAACACCCAATGTTAAAAAAAGACACAGAAGAATGAAAAGCAGTAATATGAAAAATCAAGACTGTGATGGTAATTTACATTTTTTATTTAATCTTAAGTCTAAATTAAAAATTATTATACTAATACATTTAATTAATGAATTTTAGATACAGATGGCTATGAGTTCCTTATTGTTTCATTGGATAACAAACAATGGCAATTTGAAGCCAACAGTTCTGAAGACCGAGATGAATGGGTTGCTGCGATTGAACAACAAATTTTAAATTCTTTACAAGTAAGTTTAATTTCTAATTTTTACCAACTTAAAAATTGTATTCATTTTTAGTAATTTATCTTTAAATTACAGAGCAATGAAATTAATAAAGTCAATGCTAGTGGTAAACTCTGTTCATCTAATCGTTCTGAAGATGTGCAAAGTATTCGAACTAGAGTGCCTGGTAATGGTCAGTGTGCAGATTGTAGTGCCCCTAACCCTGACTGGGCTAGTTTAAATCTTGGTATTTTAATGTGTATTGAATGTTCTGGTATTCATCGTAATTTAGGCTCACATGTTTCTAAAGTTCGTTCTCTTGATCTTGATGGATGGCCGTAAGTATTAAGAGCAAAATAACAACTAACATTTAGTTATATATAATAATCCCCCAATATTTTTTCAGACCATCAAACCTCAAGGTTATGATGGCAATTGGTAATGATATGGCAAACTCTGTATGGGAAGGAAATGTTAGACCTAACCGAACCAAACCAAATCCTAATTCCAGCAGAGAAGAGAAAGAACAATGGATACGTAACAAGTATGAAAATAAAGAGTTCCTACCCGCAATAAACCAATCACCAAGTCTGTCTCAACAGCTCATTGATGCAGTTTGCAGGTATCATCTTAGAAAAATATAATTTTATTTCATAATATTTAATTATAAAATTTTTATTATAGAAGTGACATAAGGGCTATTATATTTATACTTGCCCATGCCACAGCTGATCAAGTTAATTGTGTTATTAGTCATAGAGATTTACGCACACCGCTTCATCTAGCCTGTTCAATGATTAATCTACCTCTAGCACAGCTACTTCTATGGGTAATTAATTTATCTAATAAATAAAATAATATTACTTATTGTAATTGGAAATTTGTCCGTGTAAATAACAATAGGAATAGAACAAAGATATAATAATATTATTTACAATATATATTATTATTCATATACACAAAAAATGAAAAAAATTAACAAACAAAAACATATAAATTAAACACATAGAATTAAAACACACACAATGATAAATACACGTCTTAGCTGACTCATGACCGACACACAACTTAATTTAAATTTCCCACCTCCAGACCCTGGAAGTGGTGCCTTATAGACATCAACAGTACCCACTTATATATATATATATAAGTGAGTTTAATATGAGTTTAATATTTTTAATATTTTTTAGTTTTTTTAAATTAATAATATTTTTAATANACATATATTGATATTTTCAAATAATGATACAATTGTATGATTTCAGTATAAAGCAAATGCTAAAGCAGTTGATCATGAAGGTCGTACATGCATTCAACATGTAAGAACAGCTTGTCGAAATGGTTCAACTTCAATTCAAGATGCTGGTCCATTAACCGAACTCTTAGTACAAAATGGATGTCCAGAAAGTAGCACAAGTACACTTACAAGACCCTTGGATATACTTCCGTCCAGTGTTATCTAATTACTTTAACAGTGTATTAACCATATATTATAGTGATACAAACTATAAAAACCACTGTGATAATATATAAGTACTAATTATTAACTGTAACATTCTATAATATAAAATATATAGTATCATGTTCATAAGTGTCTAGTCTTTTGTTCAATTAGCTTGTACCAGAGTGATGAGACAAATTAACAAATGGGCAGTGACCATATCTCTTTTCTGTGTTCTGTATTATTATTTATTATTGATAATTACTAATTTATTTAACGAATATGTGTTAAAACTTTTTATTGTAGACTTAATAACCCTGTATGTGTATTAATTTAATACTGCTATGTAAATATGAGATATAGATGGATGTATTAAATGAGTTTTTTAATGACACAAATGTGTATATGTAAGCATAAAACTTTATAAATTTTAGATATTAATTGTTTGTGAATATGTTAGTACTTAGAATATTATAGTTTATACATACTGTTTGAGATAATGTCTCAGTCTTTTTAACAGACATATTTATGTAATAAAGTATAAAATGATTTTATGTAGACAAGTAATTAATATGTGTTTTTATTTTTTAAAATTACAATTGAAATGTTTTGAGGTTACATGCTTTTGTAATTTTAGTAAATGTATACTTTTTAGAATAATTCATATCCTTCATTTGAAAAAAAAAAAATACCAAAATTAAAAATTATAGGTAAAAAATATATAATTTAATTTCATTAATGACTGTCATTGTCGTATATTAATCATTTTAAGCTTAAAAAAATAAAAACCTTCAGTATAATATTATTAATAATACTTTTAAAAATGATTTCAAATAACTATAAAAACAATTATTAATAAGTATAAAATAATATAAATTTTATTTTATGCATACTAGTTAGCTGTCATAAGAAGTGTATAATTTATATTTCTCAAGATTGATAAATAATTAAGATGTTGTATTTATAGCAAAGAAAAAGTGCTGTTTAATATGATAACCATTTTTATTAGTTTAAACAACAAAATAATTTAAATTTTAACTATCAAAATCTTTTTTACATTTACAGTAATGGTTACATATTCTTGTTGGTTGGAATTCTAATGTAACTAACATTATCTTAAAACAGTATTTTTAATAATCAAGAGTTATTTTGATACATTTTGATAACTTTTGATATATTAGTTATAGATTTCCAAACATTTCATATATCAATGAAATAATTTAATTTTCTGTAATTTTTTATGGTACTTGTTCTGGTTTACACTATCCTCACATTAAACTATCATTAGAATTTAATTCTATGATATATTTATCAATATATTTATTAGTGTGGTGTCACTTGATTAAATCAAATAATTCAATGCATTAAGAGTTGAATATACATTATATTTTGTTATTTGTGAGACAACAATTATGCCACAATGATGGGGACCATAAATGTGAATAATAAATGTTGCAAAAAGTTTCTATGGTAAATTATCAATTAAATATTTTTTTTGTGTCTTTCCCCTCCTCATAAATCATAAATTCCTAAATAAGCCATTTAATGAAATACTATTAGAATTATTACTGGTGTAAGTGATTAACTCAAATAAATTTCATATTCAACATATAAATGAAAATAAATTACTTCTATTGTAATTAAGTTTCTTTTATATTTATGTAACTTTATTACTTGTTTATTGAGTAATTTAAAATTATTTTCAATTGTAATAAAAATAATTTACCTAACACCACTTAATAAAAAATTGTAAGATATAATTTTGTATTAGGAATTCACAAGGTGTCAAAGAATTCTGTTAATGTTTTAACCCCTACTTTTTATTAAATATCAAAATCAGTTATTAAATAATATACAATCATATCAAAAAATATTTATAAAAAAAGTGTCAATTCGTTAACCTATGTGTTGGGGATAAGTTGACGTTATATCAGTATAAGATGATGGTTATAAAATATTCATTTTAGCTTCGATGCGAAGCTGAGAAGGTATTAATTTTACCATGATGTGTTTTTTTTTTTTTATGTCTGTTGCCACTTTTTCTCAGCTCTCACTGGACCGATTTCTTTCAACAATACGTCAAAAGATCAAAAATCGTATCTAGTTGAAGACATTATCCTTAAAAATTGAAAAATTTTCCATCGTTCCCCGCAAATGGGGGAAATATCCAAAAAAATTACAACTTTAAAAATCGGTAAATTTTGTCATTTTTTTCACTTTTTTTTCTTAAAACTTCCATAACTTTTTCAAAAATAAACAAATCAACATAATTTTTTTTTATACTAAAACCTTAGATATTTCCCTTTCATTTGATATCATTTTTTTGAAAATCTAACACTTAACCTGCTCATTGAGTGGGATTTAAAATAGCAACTTTTTTTCAAAAACTAACTTTTTCAACTTAACTNTGGGATTTAAAATAGCAACTTTTTTTTACAAAAACTAACTTTTTCAATTTAATTTTTGAAAATGTTCCGGAAATACTACGTTCTTTAAACATATATCAAATTAAAGCTTATTTTATGTACTATAAAATAAAATAAAAAATTTGTCCCAACGACCTATCTTCTATGCTCAAATGGCTACCGTATTCAAGAATATGCTATTTTTCTATTAAAATTCTAGGTTTTGTATTTTATTTAATTTTAAAATATCTTATTAGGAGAATATATTGACTTTCATGAATATTATATAATTTAATTGACATAGAATAAAGTTCATAAGACATAAGAAATTAAACTTATTAAATTTTTTTTACTTTTTTAAAGTCGAAAAAGTAATTTTTAAATTTGAGTTAGCTTAAATAGCCAATTTTTTAGCTTCGAGTATAGTTTTGTGTTGTGAGTTATGTAATTTAATATTTCGATAAATTTTATATTGAATTTTGATGCTAATTCTGAATTTGGCTCAAGTTTTTATAAAGATCACTCAATGTTTTTGAGATAATTATTAATTAATAATTAAGAATTACATCATTATTAAAAAATGAAAAATGATTTTTTTATCTTTAACTCTTCTACTATAGTTTGTTAAAAAGGATTTGTACAAAATGTAAGGTTTATCCGTCAAGTAAATATTTTTATTGACCTCTAAACTTTAGTTGATAATCATTTTTCAGAAAAAAAATCTAACTTTCTACTTAACTATTTTTGGGTTTATTCTTATAATTATGAAATTGCTACCAATAGGTAGATAACTTTGAGAAAAAATAAAAGTTTTATTGTATTTTTTACATGACAAATAACTGAATTTTTAAAAAAATTGATTTAAAGCTAACAAAATTGAAAAAAATTGCAATTTAATTTTTTATACAACTTTTTTTAGTACAGTTTTTTAAGAGCTTGAAAAATATTTGGCATATAAAATAATATAATATTTAAATTAAATTCCAACATTTTTTTGGTAAATTTTTTCAAATTTATCTGTTTTATGTATATTTTTTTTTAAATTGTTCTTTTTCTGATTATTTACATGTAAAATACAATATACTTATATTGTGTATTTTTGAATTCTTCACAAAATTATCTATCTATTAATGTCAATTTTATAACTATGATGTTAATGTCATTCATAATTATAATTTTTTGCTAATTATTTATTAAAAAATATATATCGATAAAATATATAAACATATATTTATTTATTATAAATTATATTAAAATTAAAATAATAAATTATTACTATTCTTAAGGTTAAACTGGGTACATTAGATGCTACTGTACATTCATCAAAAGCTTAACAATATCAAATTAGAGGTTATCCAACAATAAATTTCTTCCCATCAGGCACATCTAGTTTTAGTGGAGCTGAAGAATACACAGGTGGTCGAACATCCAATGATATTATTAGCTGGGCATTGCAGAAACATAAAGAAAATGTACCACACTCCTGAAGTTTTTGAGGTATTACATTTTGTATAGTTTATGTTTTTATGCAGGTACCTTTATGTTTTTTTTTTTTATAAAAAAAATTATTTGATTCAGAATAATGAAATTCGATAAAAATAATTTCATCTATTTCTCTTTATATAAAACATAGAATAAATAAATATGACCGTTTTTAATATAATCAATGTTATGAGACACAAACATTTTTTTTAGTAAAACAATTATTTTTCATACAATCAATGAGAAAATAAGATAATTTTCTTTCTTTGATTTTTTTTTTAAATCTGAGACTTAAAAAATTTTAATTATATTTTACATATAATTATTTGATGTATTGTTAAGTTTAAAATTGTTGCCAGATTAAAGAAATTTTACTTTAAATGAATTGGTTAAGCATATTTTTTATTGAAGGTAAAATCTATATATTTAGAAAAAGTAAAACAAATTTTTCTTATTTTACCGAACTTTATTTTTTTTTGAATCTTGAAAATTGTATAAGATTTTTGTTTTATATAGTACTTTCTGAAATTTAATCTACATTTTTATATTGAAATAAATAATTTACCTTTAATCAATCATATTGTACTAGGTTATAAATGAAGATACCTTCAAGTCTGGATGTTCAGAACATGCTTTATGTGTAATTGCTGTATTGCCTCATATCTTAGATTGTCAGTCCAGTTGTTGTAATGAATACATCAAAATGTTGCGCTCATTGGGAGATAAATTTAAACAAAAGCTTTGGGGGTAAACTACATCACTTAATTATATTAGAAAATTATTACTTTTTAATTTTACTTAAAAACATTTACTGTCCTTATTCTTTTGTGATTACAAGTTCTTATTTTTTTAGATGGTTATGGTCTGAAGCAGGAAATCAGTCTGAATTGGAATCATCATTAGAAATTGGTGGATTTGGTTATCCTGCATTAGCAGTTTTAAATGTTAAAAAAATGAAGTACTCTATTTTAAGGGGATCTTTTTCAGAAGATGGCATTAATGAATTTTTGAGGTTTATATATTTTTTTTATTAAAAATTGTTCAGTTTTGATAATTTGTTAAAAAAAAAAACTGGGGATTTATCATATGGACGTGGACGAACAGCTCCAGTCAGAGGTGCTGAATTGCCTAAAATTAATACAATTGAACCTTGGGATGGAAAAAATGGTGAATTACCTCAAGTAGAAGATATTGATTTATCAGATGTTGAATTAGATGGTCCTTCTAAAGAAGAATTATAAAAACTGTTATACTTACTCTATTTATTTATTTTTTTAAGACTGAACAAGTTCTATATAAATATTAATATCTAACCATTCGGTCCTATGACTTTTCATTAGTCTAAAACAGCTATTTTCAAATCAATCCTATTTTAACAAAAATCATTATAACAATAATCCCACTTTTCCATTATAATTTAATGTTAAGTAGAATTTTGTAATATGTAAATCAAATTTAACTATACTTACATAGTTGAAATTAATTAAGTATTAGAATATTAAATTTTTTTTGTATTTAATGAAAAAAAAAAATGAGTATAATTTTTATTTTATAAAAATAACTTGTTATTTATTCTAAGCCTCTTCCATATGTTATAACAATGATATAAAAACATTTAAACTAAACTAAATTTTAAGATTTTAAATATTTTTAAACTAATAGTTTTGCCTAAAACAATTAAAAATATTTTTATGGCTATTATACCTATTTAAACTTTTTCTAATTTCTCTTTACTTATATTAAATTATTTTATAGTTGGTGTAATATTTAAAGTTGAATGTTAATTTTATATATCTAAAATAAATTCTCAAAGTAATGTGCCAACTATATCCATTAATTAATCCCAATAATAAAATAATAATAATAACACTTAGAATTTTATTTTAATTATTCATTGAATGGATATCATTTAACTCAGTGTAAAATTAAAATAAAACAATAAATTTTTAAACAGTGCATATTTTTATTTAAGCTTCCAATTTTATTAAATTGATATTGATTAATATGAAGTACATTTTAATTTGATTCTTACATAGTTTTTTTAATTAAACCATTTTTTTCACAATTTTATAGCTGAATAAGTCACATGAAGAGTAGGTTACTTAACCATGGATAATTTAGAATATGTGGTTTAATACTTGTCTTGCTTAGCAAATGGAGCTACTCGTAACCAAGTCTCAAACCTAAAACTACTACTAAGATAGTGCCACATACCAATTAGACAACATCTCCCTCTAAGTTATATGATACTTAATGAATTATCAAATTAATCAATTACTTTAAAGTAGAGGTGAATAAAAAAAGTCAATTTTTTAAAATAAAATATGTTTTTAATTTTAAAAATAGAACAGTATGTATAATAAATAATTGATGTATCAAAAATAACTAATTAATTATAATAATTTTTTTTTTAATTTAGAGTATCAAACAATTAAAGAAAAATTAATAAAATAAAATTACTCATAAGTAAATGCTATGATATATATAATTAATCAAACTTAATATGTGCTGTACACATATCATCAACTGTCCCTTCGACAATCAAATTTCTGTCGTCATAATACCGAAGTAAATTTTTCCACGTAGGGTTTTTCACCAAAAAGTTAGCGTTACCAACTAAAAAAAGACCAAACTTTGCACGCGTAAGTGCCACATTTAGCCGACGGACACAGTTCAGGAAACCTACAACGTTTCTCTCGTTCGAGCGGACACACGATATAATAATGTACTCCTTTTCACGGCCTTGAAAAGCGTCCACACTACTGACTTCCACCCCTTTGTTCTTGTTTAGAATTTGTTTCAAAAGTGATCGCTGTCCTTCATATGGAGTTATAACACCAATTTGATTTGGAGTAGCTCCTTTGCTAAGGAGTTTGGCTACTAGTTGTTCAACAACTTTCGCCTCTCCATAGTTCAAGAAAGACGTGCCCGATCGCGATTTTCGTTCGTTGGCATCGGAAGAGTAAAATACCATCGGCACATTTGGGTTAGGCCACGTGAAATCAATCGACCCAGTTCGGTCGCTACAAGTTACGCCGTTCCTAATCGTACTCTCGTACATAGTTTGTGAAGCGTACTCGCTGATCTCGGGGTGCATTCTGTACTGTACAGTTAAACGAACTGGTTGTAGGCCAGCAGCTACCAATCTCTCGAACAGAGAACGATGCAGACCTCCGTTTCTAGTGTCCGGACACGTAACAACCGGCCCCAACTGACAGTGGTCACCTATTAACACCACTTTTTTGGCTCCGTGGGTGATTGGAATGATGCATTCCGGTTCTAAGCCTTGAGCGCATTCATCCACGACCACCGAAGAAAAATTGATTTTTTCTAAACGGTTGTCGCCGGCGCCGGAGCAAGTTGTGCACACCACTCGACAATTCGCTAGACAGTCGATTTCCGCCATTCTTCTCAGATAATTGTAGTCCCTTCTCTCATTTGGGCTCAACTCGACACCTTGATCAATCTGCCCTTGAAGAGTTTTAAATTCTGAATGACCAGCAAGCTTTTTAATTTGTTCACTAAGATATATATTTGAAAGATCACTTTTAACCGTCTCTTTCGTTTTTTTCACAAGTCTAACGACATCGATGCCTGTTTTAGCCACGGCATTTGCCAAGTTATCAACAGCGTTGTTCGACGGTGCGCAAACTAATACGGTTCCGGACTTGGACAGATTGTATACAATATTGGCACAAGTAACCGTTTTTCCAGTACCGGGAGGCCCTTGGATTAGAGAAACTGGCGTGCGTAGGGCATGGCTCACAGCAGACAGCTGTGACTCATTCAAACCAGGTAAATTGGGAGCTAATAGGCTGTTATCTGTCAGATTTTCGTCACGTTCGGGTGAATGTTGTTGTTGACGTCCGAGCAACATTGATCTTACTTCAGGTGAAACAGATTCGTACTTGTAAGAAAAAGTAGCAAGTGCCGCTTCCATCCGAGTGTAAGGGGTTTTATCAAATGACTTTTTTAAAGTTGCCGGTGTCCCAATAGGCAAGTCGATTGAAAAATTTACTTCTACATCAACAACGCTCATGAACTGGTCAAAGTTCGTAACAATTCCTTTTATGGCGTTGGTCATTTTTGGACTTGAAATCCATAATTCTTCGTCTACTACAAATACATTATTTTTACTATTCATTTGAAAACGTACTTTTGATTTTTTATTGTAGTTTTGAGAGCTAACGATTTTGCATTCAAACGAATGTTTTTCGCCCAGTTTTAAATTGTACGAGCATTCAGCACTTATTAATGGCTGGAAAAAATGCCCGTATTTTTTTGACGAAGAAAATACACAGGGAATATTTGTTGCAGGGACAGTTGAATGCGGAGAACGTGGCGATGGTAGTTTATCTTCTTCAGCGTTCAATTCATTAATTTGTATGACTTTTGTGTCCGTTTTCTCAAAAAGTGTACAGTAATCAATAAGTTTCAACAGTGTTATGACAACAGCACAATACATTGCCATTGTCCTGATGAAGTCATTTTCTGTAATGAAATAAATTCCACACCAAAATACAAGATGGTAAATTTTCCACATATCCTTTGACTGCATACTGGTAGCAAGCGATGTTCTTGATGTATTTAATTAAAAAAAAAAAATTTAAGCACTTAGTATGAAGTTAGAATAACGAAAAATTGTAACGTTTATATTTAATTTAAAAAAGGTTACATTTTGAAAGCGTTCCACTCCTTTTATATGAAAAATTTTCTCATATAGTGGCCAGCAAAAAAATAAAAAATATTCTTTTTGGCCTACATCACTTTTTTAAGGAGCCAAAAAAGTGTTCTAAAATAACAACTAAGTAAAAAAAAATTGTTTGATTTATTAATTATTTATTTTACAACAAACATGCAGTTTGATCGAGGCTTTAAATTATGCAGTACTAATCTAAACTTTGAATAAAACAAGCTTTTCAAATTAGAAAATATTCAATTCATTAAATCTAATTTTAGTATAATAAACACCTAGCAAAAAATATTTGTTTATTTTTCTTCGTGGTAATATGAATTCTAATTAATTTAAGGGAATTTTTCAAATATTTTACTTATATAGTTTTTTTACACTAAGTTTTGCTTTAGAAAGTTAACGAATTAGCAATATTATTAAAATANGTTTTTTTTTACACTAAGTTTTGCTTTAGAAAGTTAACGAATAGCAATATCATTAAAATAAATAATAATTTTAACTTTTAATAAATCTTAAAAAATATTGTTTTTTTTACAAAAAGTGAATTTCATGTTGTTTAATTACTTGTCATGTTTTTGCATTCAACTCGTAAACATTATGTTTTAGAATGTTTTCGTATAGAATAAGCTTACTTTATTTAAACCTTTAAGTTTTTATTCAATATTAAAATAATTGAATTTCAAAAGTGAAAGTAGATTGTACATCTATTTTAAAACCACAAGGGTTTTCTTTATAAAGAATCTTTTAAAAATTACATATTTTCATTTTTAGTAGGTGTAATGAAATTAATTCATGTCAAACAACATATCAATTAATACTTGAAAAGTTATATTATTAGTACTATCTGCTAAATAAACTGAATCATTAAAATTCAAAGTGGTATAAAATAAATAATATCAAATGAATTTCCGCAAAATTACATCCAAATTTGATGAAAGTATGCTATTAACTCTGTCAAATATTTATTATGTTAATTAAATGGAGTTCATTTTAAATTTTAACAAGAATATAAATTTTTCAGTTGTTGCTATAGAATAAGCCAATTAAAATTAATAAAAAATGTATACAAACCAAATTGTATGATTTATAAAATGTCATAAATTTTGTAATATTTTTTGATAAATGTTAGTAATAAAAAAAAANTATAAATTTTGTAATATTTTTCAATAAATGTTAGTAATAAAAAAAATACAGTTGTAAAGTTAATGGAAAATAATTTTAATATTTATTTTATTATATTTAACAAAGTTAAATAAAATAAAGTTCATAAGACATAAGAAATTAAACTTATTAAATTTTTTTAACTTTTTTAAATTCGAAAAAGTAATTTTTTAATTTGAGTTAGCTTAAATAGCCAATTTTTTAGCTTCGATTCGAATTTTTTTATGTAAATACTAATTTTTAATAATATTAAAACTTAGAAGTGATAGAAAAAGTCTAATTGCAGATTTGAAAACATCGCGAAAAGTAGATTTAGAATGGTATATTTTTGTTACTGATGAAAGTTCCTTGTAGTTCTGTGCATTTATTTATAGTAACAAACGGTTTTTATTGAAATTTATTGTATCAAGCCCTTTAAATTTTTATACACGTAAAAATAAAGCAAAATACAACTTTAAATTACGACAATACAATTTTTTTTTCATAAATATATTCTGTTTACTTATTTCATACCTGACAAGGGGAGTAAACTGATTTTCATAATAATTATATAAATCAAATTAATATAGCATAGAAAGATAAACTTATTTATATTTTTTTGTTTTTTTTTTTAAGTTGACGGAAGCGACGTATGGTTGCCGGTTGGTAATACTTCTGTCTTTCGCGCTTAGGGTACAAGGTTCCAACCCGTGTATGGCAAGGAATTTTTTATATTATTTCATTTAGATTCAATAACTTCATTAAAGATCAAGGATCCCTCACTGTAGTCGCCTTTCGTGGGAAGAGATTTCTTATTCATATTAAAATTATTTTACTATAGGGTTTTAGTTTCGATAATAAGCTGAGATGGTATTCTTTTTGACTATAATTTATTTTCTCTGCTCTCACTTGACCTTCTTTTTCAAATGATTACAATTCATATCTAGTTGAATGTATTACCCTCAAAAATTGAAAAAAAATTCTAATCTATCAATTAAACAGTTACTTGTCCCATGTTCTCCATACACACAATTAAAATAATTCTTATTTAATGTTTTCAAAGAATTTAATGACGAATCAAGTTTGATGTGATAGGATTCAACTACAAAATTAAATCATTTTATATTGTAATTTCATAATATATTTACTCTATTTGTGTGAGCTACTCCTAGATTATAATATTTCAAATTTTTTGGTAACATGTTGCTTAGGGTGGCCCTCAAAAATCGAATGTCTTTTTTTTCTTTATGCTACCCCTTAATTTTTTTTTAATGGTCAAAAAAATGAGCTGTGCAAAATTTGGGACCGATCCGTTAAGGTTAACCCGTGCCCCCGGGCTTATTAAGTTGAGTCGAAGAGTCAAATTTAATAGAAATAACTGATCTATGTCTTATAACTTTTTTTTCTCTTAACTTAGAATAATAAAAGTAAAACTCAAGTAAAGGAAATTTTACAAGAAATTCAAAAATAATAACTTCAATGTTGTTTTCTCAATAAATAGCCCACAAAAACACTACATACAGTAAAAAACATGTAAAAGTCTTAAAATACGTTATAACTGATTTTGTTGATTTTTAATTATTTATTTTCATTTTATTTTTTGGAAAACGCATTTTCGTTTAAAAAAAGAATCTAGAAGTTTAATTCTTTATGCCAAGTACTATAATTATATTAGATTTATTATTTTATAGACAGTTAATTAATGATTAATTACAAACTTAACAGTTTAATTTAATTGTTATTAACAATTTTTAATTAATTTTTTTTTAAATAATAATAACTTTAAAAAAAATATTTTAACAATAATTAAATTATATTATTATAATATATGTATATATATTATAATATATATATTTTGATAATGTACTTTTTTTACAATTAGGGAATTTTTCCGATAATTACTTACTATTTGTAAAACGTATTGTTTCTGTTCTTCATTTGTAGTTAATATATTAATGTAGTCTTAGATTAATTTAATGCCACGCTAGGCTGTATCATTAATGACTCGTAATTTACTTATAGTATTTAAAGCATTTATGTAACTGTTGTTCGCACTCCAAAATGATGGATCAATTTTCAAAAAATCAGTGTTCAGATTAAATAGTTGTAAATTTGATGGTAACTTACTACCAGTTATTTCGTGGGAATAATTACCAATAAGATAAATATTAGTTCGTAATACTTTAAAAGACGCTAAAAGTATTGTACATTTGTGATTAAAACGTATCATTTAATTTATAATAATAAACAGGTAAAATATATTTAACGTGTGAACAAATTGTCTGCTGCATTTACGACACAAATTATGTCAGTTGTCGAAAATAACTCAAATATTTTTATCTTTAATAATAATATAATTGGTACTATCTTAAAGTAATTCAGTAAACCAAAATTGATATATTGATACGACAAAATGTAATAATACAATCAATTTTGTTAAATTTGTAATTAATCATTAATTAACTGTTCATAAAATAATAAATCTAATATAATTATAGTACTTGGTATAAAAAATTAAACTTCTAGATTCTTTTTTTAAACGAAAATGCGTTTTCCAAAAAATAAAATGAAAATAAATAATTAAAAATCAACAAAATCAGTTATAACGTATTTTAAGACTTTTACATGTTTTTTACTGTATGTAGTGTTTTTGTGGGCTATTTATTGAGAAAACAACATTGAAGTTATTATTTTTGAATTTCTTGTAAAATTTCCTTTACTTGAGTTTTACTTTTATTATTCTAAGTTAAGAGAAAAAAAAGTTATAAGACATAGATCAGTTATTTCTATTAAATTTGACTCTTCGACTCAACTTAATAGGCCCGGGGGCACGGGTTAACCTTAACGGATCGGTCCCAAATTTTGCACAGCTCATTTTTTTGACCATTAAAAAAAAATTAAGGGGTAGCATAAAGAAAAAAAAGACATTCGATTTTTGAGGGCCACCCTAATGTTGCTATATAAATCATTTTTTAAAAAAAATTTTCCAGAATTATCGATGGATTTTTACTATTATAACCAAATTTTATAATACGCTCTATCGAATAGATCATTGAACAAATTTTTTTTTAATGGTTTTTTTAGTTAAAGTAAATCATTAAAATTAATTCAGTTCATATTTCAACTGTAGAATCTTTTTAAAAACCAAAGGTTATTAGAAAATGATAACTATTATTAGTAACTATATAATTTCCTGACTACATATTAATCTTAACAATACAATTTTTTTAATTCTCATAAAATTTTCTATTAAATTTTTGATTGGACGTTATGTTTATATCGTGTGAAAATTTTATGAATTGTGGTTCTTTAAGAACTTTTTTTGCATTAACGGCAATATTTAAAATTAAGTTATTTCATACATTTTAAATAAAATTACTTTAATTTTCAAAAATATAGTGATAAATTATAATATAAAATATACTTTACGGCCTACCATGATGCTCGATAACTATTTTTTTCGGACCTTCTGTAAAGAAGTTTCTCATCAAAAAAATTATATAAGTAGGAAGAGGTCAGGAGCACTTACGAACATTTTTTTATACTTGAGTTATATTACAGATGTTATTTTTGTAAATTTATTTTTGTACTTATAATACGCATTCAATAAATAGCTGCATAATACACATTTATTAAATAATTAGATAAAGAAATAAGCAACTTTTCATAACACATTTCGATAAATTTTAAAAAAATAAATAAAAAAGTGCCTTATTCCATATTTTTGGATTTAAAACACTGTTTAATATTTGTCTTCTAACGTGAAAATTTAAGATATTTATAAAAACATCATACTTTTGGGACTAATAATAAACGCAATGAATATTTATTTCCACTTATCCAACAAACAAAAATATGTTTTAAGCTTTGTCATGTAGTCTATTATAAATTAAAAACGCTATAATTAAAAGAATTCATAAAATGTTTAAAGCTAAACAAATAAGATAATTGATTTGTAGAAACGGTGACAAATAACGAACGAATTAATAAAATAAATTATATAAGAATTTATAACACTCTTCAATTAATTATATATTATTAAAAATCAAAACAAAATAGTATAATTATTAGAAATGGATATACATTAATTAGATTTAAACTATGAGCAATTTTTAAATTTAAATGGCTTGATTATCTTGTATATAGACCTCTGACTGACTTTCTAAACAGAGTATAAATAAATGAATCATACAATATAATTGAAATTAAATTCGAGAGTTATTATTATAGATCTAATGTCTTTATTTTAGGTACACTCTTTATTGTATGCCAGAAACCAAATTTCAGAAAAGTTTCCATTATTGATATTTTTATGGTATTATGTGAATATTTTATATTTGCGTATATTTCGTTTCTAGGCATTCCTCTTTCAACTATACTGTTGTACCATTTGATAACTTTCGATGGAGTTGGCCGTATTGGTCTACAGTTATTATTCATATAATCTCGAACAATATTATATAATTCATCAAGTTTTTCGTCTATAAAATTGTCATTCTTGTCATATGATGAAGTTAAATAATGTACTATGAATGCGAATGCATCAATGTTATTTTTAAGTTCTATATCAGTGTAATTTGAAAAAGAAGAAAATGCAGCCGGCCAATCTTCAATAAAATTTGTGAAAGAATCAAATTCCATTATTAGTTGTTTTTTACATTTTTGTTTTTCTGCTGTATGTTTTTTACATTCTATCCATAATATTCTTAAAAAATCTGTGTATCCTTCTAACATCTTATAGAGATTACAGCTCAAGAACAAATAAAACTGTCTGACTTTATCGTTTTTATTTTCAGATGTAACAAAATCTTTTGTTCCAAATCTATCAAGCAATTGGTCCATGGTAATTTCTCCTTTATTTCCGTCATTAATATGCAAGCCGTTTCTAAATTCTATCCACTGTAAGTATTTAAAAAATTTTTCTAATTCACAAACTTTATAATTAAAATTTAACATTAATGCACACTTTTTTGAATGCAGGAAATCAAATTTCAACAAAATAGATAATACTAATATTTTTGTTTTATTAAGATGAGGTCTGACTTTCACAAATATTTCGCTGATGGTCCTATTTCTAACGTGTTTGTTGTAGTGATCCATTATAATAGAAGGAGTTGGCTGTATTGGTCTACAATTACCATTCATAAAATCTCGAACATTATTATCTAATTCATCAAATTTTTCATCTAAATCTTTGTCACTATGTTTATATGATGAAGCTAAATAATACACTATGTCTACATAAGATTTAATGTTATTTTTAAGTTCCATTTCAGTGTAATTTGAAAATGAAGAAAATGCAGCCGGCCAATCTGCAATGAAGTTTGTGAAAGCAATAAATTCTCTTATTATATAATGCTTACAATTTTTTTTTGTGCCAGGGTATTTTTTACATTCTGTCCATTATATTTTTACATAGTCTGTATATTCTCTTAGTGTCTTAGAAAGATTGCAGCTTAAAAATAAATAAAACTGTCTTGATTTATCGTTCACATTTTCAGATGTAACAAAATCACTTCTAGTAATTCCATTAAGCAACTGGTCCAAGGTGATTTCTCCATGTCTTCCATCAATAATATGTAAATTTTGTCTTAATTTTAGCCAATTAGGGTTTTTTAAAAATAAGTTTAACTTAGAAACTTTATCTATGGAATTTACAAAATCAAAATTGAGAATAATGCAAATCAAACTAAATGAAAATAAATAATTATTATACATTTTCAAATATTAAAATTTATTGGTGTGAAATACTAGTGACGTTAATAATTTTTTCATTTACGATTGCTTCAATATATACAAATGATGTTATTTACATAAAGAACGTTGACAGAAATTATTTTTAAATTATACCTTTTAGTTAAGTAAATTTAAAATGTGGTGTTTTGTTACTTATAACTTAAATACTATATTTTATAGCTTAAATTTTTTTTAGAATAATTTAAAAAAATTACTGTGATTCTATTATTATTTTGTGCTTAATAATTCAAAAAAAGTCTTTAAACATTTAGTGTTAAAAATAGTCTAGAAATAAAATTTTAATTTAGTATATTTTAATTTACTATGCTACTGATTAATATTAAGTTTGTTACTGCGTGCAAAAGTTCAATTCATTTTTTTACACTTCAAAAGAGTTATTAATATTATTTTAAAATAACATTAGAATAATGTGCTGGTTGATTTTTTAATATAGAGAAATTTGTTTATCTTTATCCATGTAAACGTGTTTATCTAATTATGTGAATTTATAAACACAAAAATAATTTTGTCATTAGTTTGTGCTGGGATCAAGTAGGTGTAATCAAGTGTGAAATTATTTTTCAATCTCTTTCTCCATTTTGAAAAAATTCTCTTTAAAAACTTTTCAAGCGGATCATAAAGTCTTCGAACAAGACACTATGAATATTTCAACTCCTATATATGAATCGCATAGTTTCCTCGAATGCCTTGAAAGTAAGTAGATAATTTTTTATGTAATAGTTAAACGAATATTATCCGTTTTAAGTTGCTCACAATTTTATCGTATATTATATTTTAGATACTACTATGCCTGTAATGAAGGCTTCCANTATGCCTGTAATAAAGGCTTCCAAAAGCTGGAAACACACCATTATTAATTGGATAAAGCCATTGACGTTTCAGGAAAAAGTAAGTTCCAAAATTATATTTTATTCAACGATTGATTGAATAAATATTTTCAGCTTGAGTTGCACAAATCTATTAATCCTATGATGAAATGGTTAAATACAATGGATCAAATTATTTCGTCTCTCGGGTCAAAGTTGATCCTAGTTGATAAAACTAACGCACGGTCCAGACTAATAAGTTTACGCCATTTCATGCAAAAAATCAAAATTAAACAGCATGAAAAAGATTGGATTGTTAAAACGTCCAAAAAATGTATTAAAAAGTTGGATAATCTAGATTCAATAATTATGGTTCATAAATGGGCCACTGACATTCAAATTAAGTGGATTAAAATTTGTGCAGTGGCGATATATGTAACTATTTTTCAGCATTTGACTTACAATATTCTAATTTATATCAATTATTTCAGTTGTGAAGTATGCATAATTATTAAAATATAAAAATTATTTTTAGCTCGAAAAGATACTTTTAAAAATTTTGACGGATGATGTGAAAATGTTGAATGAAGTTTCAACGGATCAGTCGAAAACAGCCGCTGTTTCTGTTGAGGTGACTTGATCAGTTTTTATATTTGTCCTTAATAGGTGCTTTCAAATCTTTCAATTTAAAATTATTATCTCAACAAATTATTAAAATTACTTTATACGTGTTATTTACAATTTTCTGTCAATCACCAAGACTTTGTAGCTGAATTTACAGTGATATGATTATTTTTCATCATTTGATGCGTAATGCTAACAAGTTCTGAANCATCATTTGATGCGTAATGCTAACAAGTTCTGAATTTTTTATTCATTTATTTCTACAATTGATAATTTCATTAATATTATGTATTATAAACACACTCTGTGTAATTATTAAATTTTTATAAATTATTATTATATTATCATTAAATAAATTT